TAGATTTACAATATATAATGCATATATTAATACTGAGTGAAAACCACTGATAAATAAAGAAATATTTGTATAATGAAAACAATTAACTGCCTAACATGGCGCTCACAGAACTTGATGACAACCCGTGAAAAATGGGTGTACTTTAAAGGAACTTATTTAATGTAAACCAGACCTGAATCTAAACATCCTGCACTGACATATTAGCAGCAGCAACTATGATCCGAAAATCCGTCAAGAATTAGAGCTCAATATTCTATTTAATGTTAAAATGTAAAACGAAATCTTTTGAAAATTCCTTCGGGGTACAAATGTAGGTAATGATATACCTATCTAGGCCCAGACCGACCAATTCCTAAATAGGGTTTGACATCATTTTCGACAGAGGTTATAAGAATTATTCGTGACAAAAAAGAAAGACGTGACTCAATTAATTTACACAATATTTCACACATTGGATGAGCGAGCATTTAGACATAAGTTTTTTTAAGTAAAAAACACCTCTACTTACTCACTGTGGATATGCCTTGTTCACACTATGCTAGTATTTTAGTTGAGTAGCGAATATTCACTAGTCCTCTCTCACTTCTGTCCCAAAATTGAAGTGAGAGAGAACTACTAAATATTCGCAACTCGACTAAATTACTAGCATCGTGCGAACAAGGCATTACGGTGGCGCTAATTATTTATTACGTTAAGAAAATTTCCATAACGACTCCATACTATTTTTAGCATTATTATTTTTGCAACCTTTTATCAAACATATTTTGAAATACGGAAAAAATAAATGTTTTAAGAAAGTAAGGAACCTAAGTAAAACTTTGTGGCAGTATTCTGGGAGCACCCTCAAGGTCCCAGGAGCACGGATTCCAAGAAAATTGTTTAAAGAAATGTGTCAATCATATTCTTTATTCATTTGGATTAAAGGATGGTAATAACCTCAATAAAATGACACAAAATACGCGGACTGTAATGAATATTTTCCTTATGTGACCAAGAATTTTCATTAACGACATCATTCTCATTATAAGCGTAGAGATAAATTGTTGTCTTTATGAAATTATCACTTAATACCGTACCCTATACCCGTGCTCATTGTAAAAATGTTTTTTCCTTTCTACAAATAATACAGTACTAAAATATAAAAAAGATTGCAAATAATATTCGATGACAAATTATTTTTAGACCATACATTTTTGTAAACTAGAGTCAGAGAGTTTTAGAGCATATTCATATTTTGTTTTATCGTTTTTTTTTTTCGATACAAGTAGTAGGTAGTAAAGTAGCATATTAGTACCCAATTGATAGTACCCAATACCCAAAATTGCCTAGCACAAGCAATCCACTGCTTAAAAGGAGATCTCCAATAATTTTATGTAATGCCTGTTGTAATTGAAATAAACTTTTTTTTTATTATTATTCGTGTTACCCGCTCTTACTGTTTTTATGTAGGTTTATTGCACTAAACACAATTTTAGACTCTATCTATCGAAACTTTCACTGCGAATTTTGGAAAACTCAAGGAAATATACATATTTAAGGGAATTAAATTTTGTTAATTTACGGTGTGTCACCTAGACCTAGTGTCACCAATATTCAAGACTATGGAATCACCATAGTTTAAGCATTTTCGGAAATAACCTGACGCAAGGTTATTTTTTATCAAATTAACTTCTTATGAACCGCCATCGGTTTTCACTCAAGATGATAAAGCTTATTTTACACCAATAAAAACAACTCATAATGAACATTGGGATTTTTGTTTTCACACGGAACCGACAAAGTTTTTTACGACCAATTAAATGTTATCTATGGATTTATATGGGATTGAAAAAAACACGAATGGATTAGGACAAAACCATTTGTAGGTACGTAGGTATAAAGTATATTATATACCTACCTATTAAGGCAGTAGGTGTAAGAGAATAGCATTAGTATTATAAAAAAAACGTATTGCGATAACTGACACTTTTGATGTTATCTTACATATTAGAGTATTGAACATCAATAAAAATTTAAACGAATTAGGCTTAAAACAAAGACTAGGTTAAAAAAAACATAACATTACATGGGTTTTTTGAGAGGAGAAAATCATGCAATAACTTCTCCCGACTTGGTTGAGGCAAGAGAGAGTGTCAGACTCGTACTGACTAAAAACCACCCCGTTCCTACTCCTGCACTTCGAGGTGGAGCCCCGACAACCCGTTAAGTCCTTCGCGGCTTCATTTCGGCATCAGAGCTACTGGGTGGGCCCTATCTGTGCTGGTCTGATGGCTCTTTCAGGCGCGCGCGACTCGCGATTCGCCGTACTCAGTACGTACACAAACTTTACATGGGTGCTATATTAATTAACAAAGCTAAGTAAAAACTAGGGATAAGTTTGTGCAAATATAAAATCTTTCATCATCATTATCAAAATGGTTTACACAAGTATTTAAAGGCACATTGTTGGTAGTTACTTTATCATTATTCGTCTGCTAGGATTAAACTCAACAGTGGCGCCCCCTCATAGTTACAAACTTAAATATGAAATAACAACTGAAGTAACAAGCTATTTGTCTGAACATTATTCAATGTCACATAATAAAGAAAAAACATTACCTGCTCAGTTTATCTAAACTTATTAAAAATCGCAATTCAGTTAAATAAAATAGTCACTTATAACAAGATTATTATCATTTAATTAAATAAATACATCCTTACGTGCTGTTTACAGTTGCAACAAAAACCTTTGGCAAATTAAATGACGAAAAATAAATAAACAAAATGAACGGTGGCAAATACTTGAAAAATACTTTATATGTAACGAGGAAAATTGCGTAAGTACTAAATACACATTTTTAGACCCTAAACAAATAGAATGCTCTAATGCTTTATATTTGCTATGAACTTCAACTTAAACTCTTCGGGGACCCGACGAAACATACCTGTTTTGCACCAGAACTGACACATTGAAATATTGTAGAAAAAAAACAAAAAAGAACTCGGGAAATTCCTATACCCAAATAACAAACAGTAGGTTATTAACATCATTCTAAATATTCCAAACTATTAAACGGTGTATTAATTTTACGGTTTTTCTTTCCTAATGAAACACGTTATTAAGTTGACATCATAGTCTACAGATTATACAGTTAAGGGTCAATTTCGAGGTAAGGCAGTACACAAGTACGTATGTGCCTAATGAACCAGATTAGGAAAACAATTTACGATAATATGGTTTCATATCCGCGTTCTCCAAATAATCAGGAAATGGTACCACACTATCAAATGAACAGCTTATTTATAATACAGCGTTATGTTTGATTTCCTCCAAGATGTAAACAGTGAGAAATTATTTTTATGGTTCAAATATTTTTGAATTCAAAAGTATGAATAGCACGGCTTCTAGTGGAGATGCAGAAAGATTTTGGGGAGAACTAAGGCAACCCCACTAAAAACTATGCACAAACTATTGTCTGCTGTATAGTGTACATACCTCTAGAATGATAAATAAATAAACAAAATAATACCAGTGTTTATAGTAATCCTTTACTATTACAAATAGGAAATTATAAATGGGAAAGTGAGTTTGTTTGTTTGTTTGTTCCGCTTTCACGCCGTAACTTCTAAACCGATTGCTTTGAAATTTTGCAGACGTACCTAAAGTTAAAAGTCCGGATTAAATAATAGGGTACTTTTTATCCCGGAAATAATTGATATTCCCTAGGGAAAACAAAAGTATTGGTATAGATGGCGCTGTGTGTATTGGTATATGTCGCATAAGCTACTTTTTATCCTTTTGTGACGCGAGCGAAGCCGCGGGTAAAAGCTAGTCAGCACATAAAAGAGGGCACCAAGTCCTCTTTGTCTGCTGTATAGTGTACATAGAATGATAAATAAATAAACAAAATAATACCGGTGTTTATAATAACCAGCACCTAAAAGAGGGCACCAAGTCCTCTAAAACAATTATCAAAGCCAAACCTAGAAGTCTGCCAGGGTTGCGGGAAAATCGTTATAAATTACCGTGGCATCGGCTCGGAGCAGGAGTTGGAACGGGGTGGTTTTTAGTCAGTAAGAGTCTGACACTCCCTCTCACTTTACTCAAAGCGGGAGAAGTTATTGGATTTTCTGCTCTCAAAAAACCCATGTAAAGTTATAATATTTCTTTAACCTAGTCTTTGAACAAAGGTCTAGCGTCATTAAGGGGGCAAAGATCCTTTCCCCCTTAAAAAAATAGTGAACTATTATCAAATGGCGTGGGGTAATAAGCTCTACTGTGGTAAACAAAGTGCACTGCTAAAGGAATAAATATTCTTTCACAATTTTGTGCGCAGTAGGGCAGTTTTTTATTGGGAGCCAATAAATTATTACATTAGGTATACCTAGTCTAATTTTATAATGATATCGATTAAATAATATTTAGATGCACGCGATAGATCCCAAATATCACGTGCAATATACTTAATTATTGCAACCAGCACATTTATAATTAACAGCAAAATGAAAATAATTACGCAATTAAACTAGAGCAAAATAACACACGATCAGGGTCGAAATGTGAGCAATGCTTTACTTTGGAAACTGAAAGAACTCCCGTTTAAACTTTAATTAGGTACAGCTAATTATTTAGCATTTAATAACTCTAAGAATACAAAATGTAAAACACGAAAAATGACTCCAAAATAAGTAAACAATGACTGTCGACAAACACACAAATAAATACCTATACCACTCACAAAATTATATAATTATAAGAAAAACAGTCACAATAACGTGGGTAAACAAATTACACAATATTACGTTAATAGAAAGATAATTTAGAAAATAAACTCTAAAAAAGCTTAAATTTTACAAAATAAACAGTAAACAGCTACTCGTGCGCATCTTCAAAATTCATGCGGCATGCGTTCAACAGGTGTACTTGAACGGTAGTGAAAAGGTCACGGGCAGGGTGGGCAGTGCCGCAGTATACACATGAGATGTAGGTACGTAATTTTTACGTCTGCGGAATATAACATCGCGAGCGCTTCCCTCGCGCAGCAGTGGTACGCAAGGACCGCCGATCCTGCGTAGGCGCCTCCCAACTTGTAACGATTGAGTTGCGCGCTAAATAGGACGCGCGCTGTGTTGTGACTGTATGTGTGCTGTGAAGTGATTTTTTTTTTAAATTTTGGAGTTATAGATTTTAAATAAAGTAAGTTAATTTTCCCAGACTCTTTGAATTTAAAATAAACATTTTCATAATAAAATCTTGAAACAGATAATGTAGAATTTTCCACTAATTAAATCCAAAGGAATTGTTTTTAATTACTAACTAGATCTTTTAGAAAAAGTACTTACAGGCCTGATAAATTACAAAAAATCGTCCTCGTCTTCCAAAACAACAAACCACTAAAATATTGTGATATACATCTATCAAAAACGATCATTATCTATTTTAAAATTAAAAGAGAGAAGAAAGGACCTTCTTAAAACAATCTACAATGGAATAAAATCCAATAAAAAGAAAAATATTCCTTGTAATTATTATTATTTTCAATCTAAACTAATTAATAACAACACTGACCACAGACTAAGCAAACTATTTCTATATTATTTTAAGTAGAAAGGCGGGAAACCCGACACAGATAACGATAAACGGGAAAAATGCAACAGAATATAAAATAAGAAAGACATTCAAATTCAAAAATAAATTATAAGTAAAAAAACTTTTTAGTTTTTATTCTAAATTTTACTTTTTATGAATTTATTAACGATGACCTCTGTTACTGTTAAGTTAGTGTAAAGAGTACTGTCTGTTTTTTTTTTCTTTAATTCGTCATATTGACCCTGTTAGCTACAAAAGTGCTTTCCTCACACTTCATTAACTTTGGCATAGCTATACACACAGATTATATTTGTATCTACTATTGTTATTTTTTTTTAATATCTACTACATCTCATAATAGTTTCGTTTTAAATTCTTTAAATTTCGTTAGGGTATATTTATAAACTCTAAATAAAAGGAAAAGGTTCAAAAAATTACATTAAATAGGTACGTATTTATTTAAGTTTTTCGATGTTACCACTAATTTAGGCAACTTTTTAATTTTCTAATGGTAAAACTGAATGAAGAAATAGAAAAAATATGTGCCTATCAAATACAACTGATTAATTTAGAACGCATTCCGTGAACCAAACATGTAACGGAGTACCGCATCCAAGGTCTCACAAAGCCAGGAAATACTAAGACAGAGGACAGGTTACCGTCTAATATCTAATTAAAATTATGTGTGCAGTAAAAAACGCTAAAAAACCTGTGCAACAGTTTCCTAGTAAAATTCAAAGTTTGCGGAAAACTTAACAAGCTAGACCGGTAATTTAATATTATATTATTATGTAAATATGATTACAATTATTATGCCGCTAATATTAGCAAGTTGATGAGATGAACTTTGTGCTTCATTTATTATAACACCCGGATTTCACATACCATAAAAGGTGGGATATATTTAAGTAGGTGCGTAACAAATTCGCAACCTATAAATACGCACGCATTATTGGTAAAGCTAATTATGATTCTAATATATTTGGATTTGGCGCCCCATTTAAGGAAACAGGGAGTTCGAAGTTCAGTAGTCCACATCTTGTAGGCAATATAATAGATATAAAACTTAACTATAGCTAAGATCTAGAATTGGAGACCCCTTGCAAAAGTCAACAGGCAGCCCTACAAGTTCCCCACTGCACAGCTGAAAAAAGGCCTCTTCTTACTGCTGCCAAATATATTTAACTACTAACAAGAAACTCCCTCCACAACTCACAATTAACTACATAATATTATATTGCATAATTGCATAATACAAATTATTTGATAACCATCAAACCGCGCTAGAGTTCAAGAGTAGGGTCACGATTCAATGCTGTAAAAGATGTCGAAGCATTAATGAATGATAGGTTAGGTTTAGGTTATAAGTCACAGTGGAGTTATAAATATGAGAAATCTATTAATATCCTTTTGTTCTTCAATACATAGTATAAAACAAAGTCGCTTTCGCTGTATGTCCGTATGTATGCTTAGATCTTTAAAACTACGCAACGGATTTTGATGCGGTTTTTTTTAATAGATAGAGTGATTCTTAAGGAAGGTTTGTATGTATATACATATTGCACCCGTGCGAAGCCGGGACGGGTCGCTAGTAAGTTATAAATTTATAATCTATCCCAAAATAGCACAAGAACTGTAAAACGGCGTATCATGAGATTAATATCGTCGTAAGTATCATAAATAAACACAATTTAAAAATATTAACTTCAAAAAACCTTTTTTTGTATTGACAATACATGTGTAGTTTTTTTTTTTACTTAATACAATAATAATAAAATAAATATCATCACGCCTTTTATTCCCGAAGGAGAGGGTAGCCTGAGATGCACATTACGGCACTTAATACCACTGTACAATGTCACACCTATTTTCACTATTTATGTTATGGGTACCTACCATGTAATAGAGGGTGAGCCTATTGCCATATACCGGGCACAGTTCCAGAGTCTGTGCTACTACTAAGAATCTTTTAAAAACCCAGTAATACTTTGGCCGACCCGGATATCGAACCTTAGACCCCTTGCCCGGCAGTGTAACTTGGGACCACTCAGTTAACGAGACAGTAACTTAGAACAATTGGTAGCAGTTACATAGAATAAATAATACACGCACCTTTGCGTAGCTTTTGGGGAAATTAAAAGTATTTATTTGAAGTGTGTTGAATGTAGAATTCTGATCATCTAATCCCAACCCTAGAATTGAACCTAGACTTTGCGCGGTCAAAACTGTCGTATTACCATTAACCGCAAATTCATGTATTGCATCGTCTAACTATAAACTCTAGGAAAAAAGTAAAATAAAACAATAGACAACTAATTCCACCAAAAATGTTTGTAAAATCGGTATCCTAGCGTGACGTCATTATATTCGCATTAAACGTAACGATTATGTATGACGACCGTGACCGTATACAAGGTTTGTCATATGAACGATATGTGTTGTCAGTTAAAAAATAAAGCGAACTAATTTTAAAACGAGCACTTTATAACTCCAGAGGTAGTGGTAAGAGCTTATTCCAGCTACAATATTTTTTCTTTTTTACGGAATGCTTAATAGACTTATCGCAAATAGTAACAGACCTTAGAGTAATCATAAATTTTCTTTATAAAAAATGAGACTTTAAGGTCAATGTAAATTCATTAGTCAACAAACTGTTGACAGTTAAGTACCATGGATGGGGGCTTACGTCTCAGTAACGTCATCTAGTGAGCACAAAAACAAACACCCTCATTACAGATTACTCGCAAAATTGCATGCAAACGTTCTACTTGAAATAAATGCTTTGACTTTGTTAAGATGCATGAACAAATGATACATAAGTAACTACATTATAGTTTTTATCGTTCATGGCTGTTATTCTAGCATTTAATCAATTAAACTAATTAACTGAACCACGGAATGAATGCTTACTACAAAAACGATTTCCTAGTTTTATTTCTTACGCACATGTACATAAGTCAAAAAAACGACTATAAAACTATTGTGTAATAGATATTTCGTAATATAACATCATATCCGTTGTTATTTGAAGGGCAAGAATACCGATAAACATACACTTACTATTATTAGCTATAATGTAATATTTTGGAAGCAAACCTTTTGTATCCACCAAGAAACTGTCACCTACAGAAACTTAATACGACTAGTAATAAATTGAAGTACGATTAATTAATATAGATAATTCATCTGCAAATTACGTCCTCCAAAAGATTCTTAGTAGGACTAGTGAAAAGGTTCCAAACCGCTTCACTACAAGAAACCTCAAACCATAGTATATAGACATAACGTAACTTCACTCCTTTTATCCTTAAGGGGGTGGCATATGTTCACATTACGGCATTTAATGCCACTGTACAATGTAACACCCGCATTTCACTATTTAATGTTATGAGTTCCATGTAATAGGGGGTTGATCTTATTGCCATATACCGGGCACATTTCCAGACTGCGTGCTACTATTGAAATTTAAAAAAAAGCAGTAATACTTTAGCCGACATGGGAATCGAACCCGAGACGCCCTTGCTAGTCGGCCAATGAGGCAGTATAATAAAATATGGTAATTTATTAACACAGACAAAGAGATACATCAAATTTATTTATATCAAGACTCGTTCAAATCCCCGTTAGACATATCACGTACGCAAAATGGAAACAGGTTGCCGCTACGAATTTTTAAGATGACTTATTAAATTCCTATTACTTTATTAATGAGATCGTGAATTAAATTACTTGATATCAAAAACCACAATCTTCAAACTCTAACTACGTAGATGAAGATACTATGAATAAGACTATTAAATTACTTTCTTCTCCTAGAACCAGTTAATAAAAGTTATTTAGTTTCCTACACTCCCTTTGTTTCCATATAATAAACACTTAAATTGTGTATCCAAATCAATATTTACTCTTTACCGAACTAAGTTTGTATCTAAAGGTACTGTTACACATGCTAATTTTAAGCACGGAAGCGTGCTTCAATTGAACACTTGACACTTAATAGTATGTGTGTCGGAATGTTGCTCAAAATTAGCGTGCTCATTTCCAGTGCCTTTAGCCAAACGCCACTTTAGCGCTTGTCTACAGAGAGAGTAGAAATCAAAATGTATAAGGATCATCCCTATACATTTTGATTCAAACATTTCGACAAGTGTCAAAATTTACGTCAATTTCATATAATTTGGTTTTCTATTCTACATATAGACAAGCGCTAAATGGCATTTGGCTACAGCTGCTGGCTTGTTTGCGAATCGACAGGCGTTCGATTTTTGAACATCTTTGAGCATGTTCAATAGTACGCCTTTTAGCATGCTATCTTAGAGCACGTGAGACACTTAAGATACTTAACAGTAATCTAATCAGAAAGGGAACATATCATTCGTAAAAGTGATTAGAATATCAATTTATTGTTTTAATATAAGTAACGTGCCGCCGGTACTGACACTGACCGTGAAATGCGAACGGAAGAACTAGACACAGGTCACATTTTGCAACCTTCTAACTGTTTACAAATAAATTAGAGAGCAGCTGTAACAGCTACACAACATTTGCTTGTATTTGTCGGCGCCGCCGTCATTATTTTGTAAACTGCGAATGTAATGGGCGAGCAG